TCCGTCCCCCCGTCCTCGTACCCCCCCCCACTGCAGCAATCCGGACTGCCTCCTCCTCCCCCGCCTCCCCCACAGCAGCCTCAACAAGGCCCGGCTCAGGCCGCCAACCAGATGCCTCCCGGGACCCGCGGAGCTCCTGCGTCCTCGAACTCCTTCCACGGCTCGGGTTACCTGAGCACCGGGTGGCACTGACCCCCCCCTCCTCCCTGAGGACTCTGCTGGGGAGGGGGGCCTGTACCATAAGCTGTAGATAAGTTTTCTACGTACCTGAACACATGGCCAGTTGAAAAACAGCTGTTTGTGGGATAAAAGGAAAAAACAAGGACAAGAAAACGATTTTAGCAAAACGCAACGACAAACTGTAAGAAAAGAAAGATGGACGATCCCCCTGGTGCTCATAGCCCCCCCCCCCTCTCTGGCCTGTATTGTTTTTTCTTTTTATAACATCCTCCATGAAGGTGGAGAGGAAAAAGTTCTGTTCTTTGTTCAGAGCCCCGTTGTATTCCCCCCCTCCCCCCCGCACTTTGTTTATAAGCGGACATTCCAGCCTCCTCCGTATATCCGTCTGCCATCGTCTCTCTACACAGTTTATGTTTTAATCTAGTGGCTCATTATAGCAAACAAAAAAAAAGCTTTTTGTATAGAGTTAAAAAAAACAACAATTATTTTTTTTAATCTTCTGTCTAACAAATATCTGTTCACCGCTGCAGATTCAGGAAAGATCCGTTTGAGTGTGAGCCCCGCCCCTTCAGGACGCCTCACCTGTGTGTGTGTGTGTGTGTGTGTGTGTGTGTGTGCGTGAATGAATGGCAGCTTAGAGGAGCGACGCGTGTTTTGGGATTTTGCTCATGGAGGTAGGCAGAGCGTCTCACCTACAAGTAGGAAGTTAGCGGTTTATTTTTGAAACTCAATGGATATTTGTAGAAAGTGTAATTTAATGTATAGGTGGTTACTTCAGCTTTTCACCAGAAACAGGTTTTTGTAAATATCCTGCTTCTTTTTTTTCTATGCTTGTACAATTCGCCCCCCATCCCATCCTCCTCCACACACCCCCCAACCCCTCCCTCATTTTAAGATATGGTTGTAAATATGAACGCTGTTCTCTGCAAAGCTGAATGTTTCTGTGACTGTAGCATTATTTTTATTTTATTATTTTTTTTATTTTCTCTCCCCTTTTATTGACTCTTCAACTATGTCTCCTTTTTTTTTATTTGTGTGTGTGTGAGTGTTGCGTTTGTGTGGAGGAGAGAGACTCACAGACACTGCACTGGTTGGCTATTTTCATGGTTCATTATAATAAATCACTGTAATGACAGTTTTATATCACTTGTGGTGACGTTTGTCTGAAGGTTTTGGGGGGAATTAAGTTGTCTTCATATAGATTTCTGCTGTAAATAGGACCTATCCGACAGCATGAAGTAGAATTTAAGATCTCAGAAGGGAAAAAATCAACAAATATGAAAGTTAATGAATGACATTGCTCTGCTTGGAGACGTCTCTGAGGCTGTGGGACCAGTAGATCATGAAGAGTGGAGAACCAGAGGAGTCCAGTCCACCTAAATTACTCCAGGAGGTCACCTGCCTTAGTTCAGG